GCAGATAGTGCTTTTATATGCATGTGTATATAGATACGTAAAAAATATAATTGATGAAGAGATCATGAAGTTGAGGAGGAATAGAGGCAGGGACACGGGAGGAGTTATGGGACCTTCTGGGATGAAAGGGATGTGAATACAGTACATTCTCAAAGTGTTTAAAATACAGAAAAAAATGCCAAGTCAAGCACACAGTGACTTGGGGGGCTGCATCAGGTGTTTATTTCCAAGGATGAGTTCATATATTATCATTATTATTGTTATTATTAGTATTATTTTGCTTTCTCCTGTAGCTGCAGGTATCACTTATAGAAAAAATGCCAGATGAAGAACATAAATAGCCAGGGTGCAGGAATAAGGACATTTGGTTCCTATATCACAAAACTATGATGAGCAAAGAGTGCAAAAAAGTCCTGGAGGTTTATTGCATCCTTGGAGACAGCCTCTTTGGGTCAGGGAAGCCCAGAACTATGCAAAGTTACTGGGGAGATAGATCACAGTTACACAACTGTATGGGCATGCACAAAGTAGATTGTCATTGGGGAAGAAAGAAGTGTCCCCTGTTGTCCACAACTTAGCATGGCACTAGCAATTTGGCCTTGCTTATTCTTACTGACAATAAATTATTTTGTAGAGCATCAGCAACAGAGAAGGTCATCCCGTGACCATGATGCATCAAGGCAGTAGTGATAAATTGTGATCATGTATGAATACAGACTAAATGTGAACAAGTCAAAGCCACAAAATAAAAACTGACTAAGTAGCCCCTATCTAGCTAGTGTAAATGGCTATTGCTTTTTCCAAAATGATGGTTGTAGTGTCTGGCTGATCTTTGCCATTTATATAAAAAACAAAAAAGAACTTACAAGGAACTCAGGACCACGAGGGGTGCACCCACACACTGAGACAATGGGGATGTTCTATCGGGAACTCACCAAGGCCAGCTGGCCTAGGTCTGAAAAAGCATGGGATAAATCCGGACTAGCTGAACATAGCGGACAATGAGGAATACTGAGAACTCAAGAACAATCGCAGTGGGTTTTTGATCCTACTGCACGCACTGGCTTTGGGGGAGCCTAGGCAGTTTGGATGCTCACCTTACTAGACCTGGATGGAGGTGGGTGGTCCTTGGACTTCCCACAGGTCAGGGAACCCTGATTGCTCTTCGAGCTGATGAGGGAGGGGGACTTGATCGGGGGAGGGGGAGGGAAATGGGAAGCGGTTGCGGGGAGGAGGCAGAAATCCTTAATAAATAAATAATTAAATAAATAGAAAAAAGAAAAAAAAAACCACCAATGACTTTTCCTGACTTTCTGACGGCATACAAATCCAAAATCAACCCAGATATGCTCAATATGTCCTGCTTTGGCCTGGAGCTTCCTGGTTTTAGCACTGAAAGCCCAACACCCTGGTAATTGCTATAATTTCAAGCCAAGTAAGATGGTTAGCCAACGTCCTGCTTCCTTAAGTCACCTAAAGCATATGCAGTCTTGCGGAGATCCTTCATGGTCTCTAACAGTGCACATTTGTCTTTTGTTGTACTGAGTGATAAACTCAACATGTTTAAAGTACAGACCTTCTTACATTTTATTTCTGCGATTATAATGCAATTACATCACTTCTCCATTGATTTGCCTACCTCCAAACCCTGCCGTATACCATTCAAGAGAAAGGACTAGTCAGGCCTAGTGGGAAACTGGAGCTGAAGGAAAGGGAGGAGGAACAGGAAGGAGTGAGTGGTTAGGATCATGAGTTGCAGGTACTAGATTGCTTTTCTGAAATGGTGGTCTCCAGTTTTGACAAAGCTCGAGGTGGCAGAAAGTCAACCCATATGCTCTTGTGGGAGGGTGCAATGTTCCTTTCCCCTCTGTGGCAAAGCAAATAGAAGAAAACACTAAGGAAAAGACAGTACGTACAAATTCACTTCTCCTTATGTTGTGAAATAAACACTCTGTGTTATATGTATCACCTGCATCACAGGTAGTTTCTCTATGAGGGCCATTTCTAGGAAGGAAGAAATCCTTCCTAGTTAGCAGTGACAATACCAACAAGGACAAAGCCGAAGTTACTGGTTTAATCATTCACAGTTGACATCATTCACTGTTAAAGATACAATACTCGTTGAAAGAAAGGTGTATTGTTATATGCCAAAAATGTTAATTATTGCAGTTATGATTTTTCTGTCTTTTCTTGTTTAGGTTGTTATTTCAATTGACACATAAAAGCATAAAAGTTGTATATGCTAATGAGATTTATGATGTTTTGATAGATATACATACATACATACATTCATACATACGTATGGGTAAATCTTTAACCCCTCAAACACTTATTTATTTATGATGAAGCCATAAAAATGTCCTTCTTTTGCTTTGAATACAGCTTACAGCATCTTGCTCTCTTAGGTCCCCGCTGTGCAATAACAGAAATGCAGCACTTCTTGCATCTAGCTGCAGCAATGTTTCTCTAGCCTTCCTTACTTCATTGGTTTTTTTCTTTTTTACCTTTCTCTATTTCTCTTTCCTCATCATTCATCCCTTCTTCCTTCTCTCATTTCTCCACTCTTCTCTCCCTCATTTTTGATATAGGATCTCACTGTGTAGTTCAGGCTGGCTCTGAACTTATGATCCTCCTGTCCCTGTCTTCCAAGTGTTGGAATTATAGCCATGAATCACTGCCATCTGGCTTCTATGCTAACTTTTTAGAGTACGCTTATTTTATTTTGTATCTGTTTTGAGGTGGGGATCTCATTTTATTTCGTATATTGCCCTCAAATTCTTCATTCCCGGGCCTCAGTCTCCTGAGCAGTTCTGATATCAGGGTGTATCATGATACTTGGCTTAGCGTGCTTAATCTCCAAACAGATTAGTGGTCTTTAGGAAAGTGTTGCTCGTGTTGGGCGGTGGTGGCGCCCGCCTTTAATCCCAGCAGAGGCAGGCGGATCTCTGTGAGTTCAAGGCCAGCCTGGGCTACAAGAGCTAGTTCCAGGACAGGCTCCAAAGCCACAGAGAAACCCTGTCTCTAAAAACCAAAAAAAAAAAGTGTTGCTCATGCAAGTATCATATAAGTAGTAGTGCTTCCTGTTCAAAAGTCTGTTCAGAGACACATATTAGCATGAGGGTCTGCATGTCTTTTGAAGAGTTTTACTACGAGTGACCTGTGGTAAATATTTTAAATTCAGCAGCAGGGCACTCATATTTCACACAATATTAGTTTCCACTGTACACTTGCGAAGAGAGTTTCAAGAACAAGACTAATATTTACCTAGATGCTGTTTGTATTTTTAAAACAGCAGGAGCGTCAATGGTAGAATATGGTTGTGCACAGGCAAAGAAACCCGGAGCACCCAGGATCTCGAAGCTCGAATAAAAAGGAAGTCTTTGTTTGTTTCCCAGACTAGGCATAATCTCCAATCTTCACTAGAAAACTGCATTACTCTATTTCTTTTTTTTTTTCTTTTTGGTTTTTCGAGACAGGGTTTCTCTGTGGTTTTGGAGCCTGTCCTGGAACTAGCTCTTGTAGACCAGGCTGGTCTCGAACTCACAGAGATCCGCCTGCCTCTGCCTCCCGAGTGCTGGGATTAAAGGCGTGGCGGACATATAAAAGTAGACAAATACTCAGCGGAGGCTAATGAGATTGTTTTAGCTTGAAAAAGAAATGTGCTCAGCGGAACCCCTAGCAGTGCCTAGGGCAGATTACAAGAGACAGCGAGTAGAGTGCTGGAGTGGTTTTAATAACTGGGTACTGCTGAAAGACTCTTCCAGATGATGGTCCTAGAGTCAGAAGAGGAACAGCCTGCCTTCTGAACAGTGTTAGGAAACTTCCATGTTTTGGGTGCTATTATTAATCTTTCCTTTTCATGGTTCTGAAATATGCTTAAATCTACTTGTGTTATTTTCTTATAGACAATTCTTGCCTATGATAAACACCAAAAGACTGAATTCAATTGCTTATAGCTCTTTCTCTGAAATAACCCTCCCTCGCAGGCCTTCTGGCTAAGTCTGGGGTAAATAAATACACATACCTAGTCACAGAATAAATGACTGGGTTCTGAAGTCTACTTCTTCACAACTTTAGAAAAACATTTACTTTTCTGCTGTTTTAGGTTTTTTAAATTAATTAATCTTTCATTTTATGCGCATTGCTGTTTTGCCTGCAGGTACGTCTGTGTGAGGGTATCAGATCCTCTGGAACTGGAATTACAGATAGTTGTGAGCTGTTATATGGGTGCTGGGAATTGAACCCGGGTCCTCTGGAAGAGAAACCAATGCTATTAACCACTTGGGCCATCTCTCCAGACCCCCAAAACCATTTACTTTTAAAGTGAATTCTCAGAAGTACCTTCCCTTGTACAGTAAATAAAGTAGATGTAATGGTTTACTGAAGAACTCATTAGAACACCTTTCCAAAGGAAAAGCTTTAGTTCTGATAAGAATTATTCTTCTGTGGACTTTTTAATGGGGAACATTTCTTATGGAGTCATTTACATGTATTCATCCCTTAGACAGACCCAAATCTTCATGTGTACAGCAGCGTCAGAGACTCCTTTCTGCCAGTTTCACCAGCTTATAGTCTGCTATTGTCTAATAATACTAATGGATCGGTTTTACAGTTTCATGGAAACACACAGAACCAGTTGCCGGGAGACAGTGAAACCAGCTGAGAAATTTGAAATAACACCGAAATTGAAATGTTATTTGGATGTTGACAGAGGTAAAGGCACAGCATATTAAAAAGCAGTTGCATAACACATGCTGAAGAAACTAATAAAGGTATATAAACCTGAAAGTAGGAATCATTTCACTAGGTCTTCCTGTCCTTGGGACAAATTAAGAATATTGACTAAGAATAAAATAATTGCAAGTAGTGCTGGGCCAGGAAACTTAATGTAAAATTGTAAGACTTAATTTCTTTGCCAGATCATCCATTAAATCTAGACGGAAATACAATTTTAAGTCAAATGTAAACATGAATTCTCTCAGGCCTCAATCAGGACTTACCAAAATTTGCCATCTGTATTGTCTGGTTGCCGGTCTTCGGAGAATTGAAAATCACAACTGCATCAGCATTCCTTTTACTCGCTGTTTGAATTTTTTCAGAAAATGTGCAATTACCTCTTTCTATCAGTGCTATCCAGGGCTTATCAGTGTTAGTAAATTCAGTGTTCTGGTCGCAAGCTTGATAGTTACCGTCCTTAGGGATGCCCACCACTCCCATAGCGTTCGCCACTCGTGAGGCTAAGCCGTAGACACCACACTCACATGTATCTGTTATGGTATCGTTGCTGGTCTTGTTGAAGTAAGTCACAGTCACATAGGCATTCGTTGAAAACGATGCTGTACTTTGAAGTAAGAAGGCAAAGATTGCCAGGCAATGGAAAAACCTGTTCTTCATCTTCCAATCCATTGCTTGTTCATTTGATCATAAAACTTAAGATGTCTGCAGATATTTCCAACTATCAGTCACCATTGTCCACTAATGTCCTCTCTAAACAGAAGTTTGAAATTTCAGTTGCAGGCAGGTAACTGATCTCAGCTCCAGCAACCTAAGCTCTGACGGCATCAGCTCTTGCTCACTTTATCTACATTCCCTTCTGCTTGTCCCTCCTCCAGCTGGACACACACAGACTCACAACCTTTAGCCAGACTCTCTTCGGAATTCTAACACTATCAACTTTACTCTGCATATCAATATATGAGGATTGGATGACTTCCTGCCGTGACTTTTTTCTTCTTACCGTTCCAGCTAATAAACACGGAGTGAATTGGAATGAGGAACTGGACTCTTGGGAATCCCACGTGACAAGTCTGAAAGTCACCTCTCCTGGAATATTTCAAACACAAACCTGGTTTTCCAAGCCCTGCTGAAATATGCTATCAGCGACTGAGCCGGGAGTAAGTTCAGATCCCTACTTTTAATTGCTTTGGCACTAGTAGAAAGGATTTTACTACCTCTTCCTCTCCAGTTTTCTTTGTGAGTTATTTTGTAAGAAGGTTCCCCAAGGAGTAGCCTCTGTTACCTCGTTTACTCATTAGAAGTAAACATACTTCGGTAGTTTGCAATCTCTTTGAGTACAGTGCCTTGCCCACGGTAGACAATCAAATATTTGTTCATTGTTATCTACAGGCTGCTGGCTTCCATAATTTCCCCTCAGGTTTTACACTCTGCAAGGTAGTGTTCAAGCCTTCATTTTCAACACTGAGAGCTTTTACATTCTTCATCCCCCTCCCCCCCCCCAAATGTATAGACAGGTTCATTTCACTGCCTTCTTTGTTTCAAGCACGGCTTTAACTTGAGACTACAATAGATCCTGGGAGCAGTTGCACACACATTGCCAGAACGTCAAAGGGTCCAGGCAGTTTTCTGGGATGGGGAGATTACAATGCGTGCTAAGGGATGCTGAAGGAATAGATGAGCAGACTAGGCAAACAAATGTCAGGAGTCTCATTGGGCCAAGAGTTAGCAATCTATACAAACAGGTATCAGGCTGTTGGAAGAAGCAAAATGAAACTAGCTATACTGGCGGTCCAAAGTCCAAGGCAAGTAGTCAGGAGCACTGGGGGAATCTAGCAAACAGTCAAACAGAAAATAAGAAAAACTGTTGATGGGCAGGAATAACAAAAGTGTTTCTTTTTGTCTTTTCTTGTGTAACTAATATATTAATGTAAACATATTCATAATAGAATTAATAACTATGACTGAATTGAAAAATGTCAAGGCCTATGTTCTATTCAAAAGTAAACACAGGATGTTCATAGTTTTTCTGTGGACACTACCATGTTGTTGTGCTAAATATAACGGAAATGATAACACGGGAAAGTTATTATTGCTAATATGTGACTGTCCCAAACTTTCTGATGGTCAGTTATTAATGGTAAATTTCACATCAGCATTCAGTATTGAAGAAAGTTAATTTAAACTTTTTTATCGGGAAAATTAAATCATTTAAACACAGATTCATGACAAGCTAGTGAAATATGATGGACGCCAGACTTTGGGGATCCCCAAACACTCCTTTCAACCCCCATTTTCCTTCTGGACATCACTCTGTGCCTTTCAAACAACAGCTCTCCCAAAACATTTTGTGGCAGAGCTGCTGTACCGAAGACAGTGTCACTGAAGTCTTCGGTTAAATTGCTCAGGTGACGTGCATGACTTTATATGGTTACCAGAACTGTATAACTTGTATATGAGCACATTTATGTTTGCATTTTTATGGTACTTTTATAGTCACAACTTTGATAATTTTAAATTGCTCTTAAAGCTTTCATGGTTGAGTAAGACTTAACAGAATAAAAATACTCAAATTTCACTCTAACTTTTAAAGTAATTTGTGGGAAGGTATTAGTAGTTTTAGCGCTTGTTTAGTGGTTTTATCGTTTTATTTATAGAACACCTAAAATACAGTCCTTCAGAAAGTTACTAGAATGATGATTCATGGCTCCCTTACTCCAACATCCTGCATCAGGACCTGCGAGGATGGGGGAGTGCAAAAAATTGATTTTATTTTATTTTACTTTGTGGTGCTGGGAACTGAGACCAGGGCCCTGTACATGTCAGATAAACACTCTATTGCTGGGCTAGACCTTTAGTACAGATTTCTCTTTTTAAGTAACACTTCTAGGTAATTCCTATGCACAGAGCCTTGGTTTCATCTCTAGCACCAAAGAATCCAGTGTGGTGGTCCATTTTCTATAATCCCAGCACTTGGGAGGTAGAGGCTGGCAGATCAAAGTTCAAAGTCATCCTTGAATATGCTGAGTTTGAGGCCAACCTAGCATACATGAGAACTTGCTTCACAAGACACCTGGATGCTTATTTGTATTAAGCTTGATATTCTGAGGATTTATGAAGTATCTGACACACTACACTTTTCACAAATGCCAATGCTACAACTAGTGTCCCATTTTTCTGCAAATACAAATCTCTCTGGGACCCTTTGTCTCCATTTGTACACAAAAGCGGGTCAAACTAAGATCTACCTATAATACTTTTACCATATTTAACAAGATAAACCTATGAAAATTAAAGTTACATGAAGCTGAGAGGGAAACATGCTGTGGAGAAGCCCAGAAGAAGCTGATATGGCCAAAACACATTGTATATGTCTATGAAACTTTCAAAGAATACCTTATCTTAAAAACGAGCAAAAATACTATTGCTTGTGTCTATAGTTGCACAAGACTGGGCCTTGCCAACATTTCATGGGGGCGGGCATGAGATTCTATCTTCTCCCAGTTGCTGGGCACTGAAAAGTAGCCCATGTTCCAGTAAAAAAGCCTCCATTTATGCTCATAGGAGCAACCTTAATTCATTGTGTCATATCCAAAATAAGATGAGAAAGCTGGAGGGGGACTTCTTAGAAAGAAGGAGGGCTTCAGTAGAAGAGGTAGGAAGCGATCTCCTGTGCCCATCTGTTGTAGGGTATTTCCCACTTTCTCTTCTATCAGGTTCAGTGTGTTCGGGCTGATATTGAGGTCTTTAATCCATTTGGACTTGAGTTTTGTGCACGGTGAGAGATATGGGTCTATTTTCATTCTTCTACAGGTTGACATCCAGTTGTGCCAGCACCATTTGTTGAAGATGCTTTCTTTCTTCCATTGTATACTTTTAGCTCCTTTATCGAAAATGAGGTGTTCATAGGTTTGTGGGATAAAATCCGGGTCTTCTATACGATTCCATTGGTCGACTTCTCTGTTTTTATGCCAGTACCACACTGTTTTCATTACTGTAGCTCTGTAATAGAGTTTGAAGTCAGGGATGGTAATGCCTCCAGAAGATCCTTTATTGTATAGGATTGTTTTGGCTATCCTGGGTTTTTTGTTTTTCCATATAAAGTTGATTATTGTCTTCTCCAGATCTGTGAAGAATTTTGATGGGATCTTGATGGGGATTGCATTGAATCTATAAATTGCCTTTGGTAGAATTGCCATTTTTACTATGTTGATCCTCCCAATCCAAGAGCAAGGGAGGTCCATCCATTTTTTGGTATCCTCTTCAATTTCTTTCTTCAATGCCTTAAAGTTCTTGTCAAATAGATCTTTCACTTCCTTGGTTAGATTTACCCCAAGATATTTTATGCTGTTTGTGGCTATCGTGAATGGTGAAGCTTCTCTGATTTCCCTCTCTGCTTCCATATCCTTTGTGTATAAGAGGGCGACTGATTTTTTGGAGTTGATCTTGTATCCTGCCACATTACTAAAGCTGTTTATCAGCTGTATAAGTTCTTTGGTGGAGTTTTGGGGGTCGCTTATGTACACTATCATATCATCTGCAAATAACGAAAGTTTAACTTCTTCCTTTCCAATTCGAATCCCCTTGATCCCATTATGTTGTCTTATTGCTATTGCTAGAACTTCAAGCACTATATTGAAGAGGTATGTCGAGAGTGGACAGCCTTGCCGTGTTCCTGAGTTAAGTGGGATGGCTTTGAGTTTCTCTCCATTTAATTTGATGTTAGCTGTCGGCTTGCTGTATATAGCTTTTATTATATTTAGGTATGACCCTTGTATCCCTATTCTCTCCAAGACTTTTAACATAAATGGATGTTGAATTTTGTCAAATGCTTTTTCAGCATCTAATGAAATGATCATATGGTTTTTTTCTTTCAGTTTATTTATATGCTGGATTACATTGATAGATTTTCGTATGTTGAACCAGCCCTGCATCTCAGGAATGAAGCCTACTTGATCATAATGGATAATTTTTCGGATGTGTTCTTGGATTCGATTTGCCAGTATTTTGTTGAGGATTTTTGCGTCGATATTCATGAGTGAGATTGGCCTGTAGTTCTCTTTCCTGGTTGAGTCTTTGAGTGGTTTTGGTATCAGAGTAATTGTGGCTTCATAAAAGGAATTTGGTAATGACCCTTCTGTTTCTATATTGTGGAATACATTAAGGAGTATAGGTATTAGGTCTTCTTGGAAGTTCTGGTAGAATTCTGCATTGAAACCATCTGGTCCTGGGCTTTTTTTGGTAGGGAGGTTTTTGATAACAGCTTCTAATTCTTCGCGACTTACAGGTCTGTTTAGATTGTTCACCTGAAGATGAATATGGGATGTACTCACTCATAATTGGTTTCTAGCCATAAATAAGGACCACGGAGTCTACAATAGGTGAACCTAAAGAAGCTAAGTAAGAAGGTGAACCCAAGGAAAAACATATAGTTATCCTCTTGGCTAAGGGAAGTAGACCAAATTTCCGGGGAGAAAATGGGATCTTGGGGGTGGGGTGGGATGGGGGTAAGGGGAGATGGGGAGAGAAAAGGTAGAAGGGAAGGAGGGGGGACCTGGGGAAACAGGAGAATTGGGATAAAGGAAAGGTGGATAGGGGAGCACGGAACCACAATTCTTAGTTAAGGGAGCCACTTTAGGGTGGGCAAGAGACTTGACCCTAGAGGGGCTCCCTAGTGCCCAAGATGAGGTTCCCAGTTAGTTCCTTGGGCAGCTGAGGATTGGGAACCTGAAATGACCCTATCCTAGAGCAATACTGATGAATATCTTGCATATCATCATAGAATCTTCATCTGGTGATGGATAGAGATAGAGACAGAGACCCACACAGGAGCACTGGACTGAGCTCCCAAGGTCCCAAGGAGGAGCAGAAGGAGGGAGAACATGAGCAAAGAATTCGGGACCACGAGGCGTGCATCCACCCACTGAGACAGTGGAGCTGATCTACGGGGAGCTCACCAAGGCCAGCTGGACTG